GGGGGGGGGGGGGGGTTGCATCTTGTTGTATTTTTCTTCTAAAATCGAATAATTTTGGCGGAACTTAAATCACAAAGCATGTTAATTTGCATGTGGGTCGTGTGACCATGTGGATATTTTTTCTTCAAGAAAAACATCAGTACGGAATCATGGTTTGGTACCTTATGGAGAGTGACGTATGAAATTTCGCTCACTAACTCACTTGGACAAGGACATTGTAACATAAAACAAAGTGGAAAGTTTCTATTTCTACAGTGTGTACATGTTATCTGATTTTGTTTTATTCTCTGTTTGGGTTTTTATTTTTATTTTTGCAGACCTAGCAGCTTGGACTTTTCCTCTCACATTGAGGTGGACACGAGTCTCTTCCCCTTTATGTCATTTCAGTTCAGCAGGATGAACACGTGTGAGTTTTTTGTCAGCACGAGAGTTGGGAGCAAACGAAATACACGCGGTTTCTTCTTCTTCTTCTTCTTCTTCTTCTTCTTCTTCTTCTTCTCCTCCTCCTCCTCCTCCTCCTCCTCCTCCTCCTCCTCCTTCTCCTTCTTTTTCTTCTCTATCTTTTTCTTCTTCTTCTACTTCTTCTCCTTCTTCTTCTTCTTCTTCTTCTTCTTCTTCTTCTTCTTCTTCTTCTTCTTCTTCTTTTTCTTCTTCTTCTTCTTCTTCTTCTTCTTCTTCTTCTTCTTCTTCTTCTTCTTCTTTTTCTTCTTCTCCTTCTTTTTCTTCTTCTTCTTCTTCTTCTTCTTCTTCTTCTTCTTCTTCTTCTTCTTCTTCTTATTATTATTATTATTATTATTATTATTATTATTATTATTATTATTATTATTATTATTATTGTGCTTTTTTTTTTGCTTTTCTTCTTTTCTTTTGCTCACGCCTCTTTCTTTACTTGTATCTTGTCATCTTGTCAGTTTTCCGTGTGTTTTTGTTTTTCTAATTGTTTGGGTTGGTGGGTTGGTGGACTTTTGTTTGTTTTGTTAGGTTTTTTTCTAGATTCTTTTCTTTGGGGGGGGGGGGGGGTAATTTGTTTTTACTTGGCTTTCTCGTTTTTCTGTAGTTCTTTTTCGTTTTTCTCTTTTTTTTTTGTCGCCTTTGTGAAGATTTTTGGGGGGTTCCCTTGATTCTTCCCTTTGTTTTTTCATCATTCTTATATATTTTTGCCTTGTTCCAGATTTTCTCCCCTTAAATATCTCTTTTGGCGTCTGGTGGGTGAGAAGGGGGTTAAAATGTCTCATAAACAGGAACAGAAAAGGCACCAAAAAAAAAGGATCGACAATGAATATTTGAAGCTTCTGCCAGTGGAACTGATTGGCTAGCGTGAGCATAACCATGATTGGCCTAGAGAAGGTGAGGTGAGGTACGGATGGAGGTGTAAACAATTGCCTCTTTTTCTAATTATAAAACACTGAGGTTCCTGAAAAAGGAGAAATCAAGACAGTGGGATGAGATTTTGGAGTTGATACTGAATATCACACTGGGTAACTCATTGAATATTGCTGAGTTCGGCTTTCGGTGAAAATGATGTATCTGAATTCATCTCAGGGGAACTCTACGCCGTGTCGCCTGGTCGCCATGACGCCAAGTACCCAGCTTACCATCTTGTGGTCATCAACCTCGACACTGGGAAGGTCAAGGATGCCATGCAACTCACTCCACCTGGTCAGTTCTTAATGCTTGTTTGTGGTTGTTTTGTGTTCCGTCCAACAAAACCGGATAATTTTTTGGTGGTAGATTGCTTTACCGTGCCAGCCAGGGCCAACCTAGTTTAATTTCAGTTTTACTAAAGGTTTTACGGCATTTGCGACACAAATAGGTTACGTAAATGCCGAAGATCAGACGTGTTGCTTGAGAATAATATACACACACGGGAAGGGGGAGAGATAAGGAAGATCAAGATGTTTGGTAATAAAGAAAGAGCAAACCACTGTTTAACCGTACCAGACCGAGCATCCGCCATCTACCCACGGCGCCAACTTGGGCTGAGTGCATTGGAGCAAAGAGACCGAGACAATTGAGAAAATACCCCCCCCCCCCCCTCCCCCCAAACACGCACACACACACACACACACACACACACACACACCCACTCAAACTAAAGCACATCCATTGACAGTAGGGGACACAGGGCACACAGATAACGGGAAGCGGACAGAAATTAAAATTTTTAGTTTGTCCATTACGATAAGCCCGTTGTTCGACGAGTGGCGGGGCTTACAGTGTTTGCCTTAGAACCCCCCCCCCGCCCCCGCGGCCGGAA